AATTTTAAATATTTTTGATTTTTTTTTCTGCGGGGGGAGGGGGGGTTATGCGTTACTATTTAATACTAGAAGCACAAGCAGTAAAATACATCTTTTCTTTTTTTCTTTTTATTTATGAGACTTATGCTTAGGTATATATCACATTATTATTATGAAAATGCTAAAAGAACCATTTAAAGTGCATCTGAAGCCAAAACCTGGGACCTCCGGTATCGGTATTCAGTATTGGCGAATACCGAAAAGAAAAATATCGGTACTCGTACTCGATACCGAAAAACCGGTAACGGTGCATCCCTAATAAGTACACTGCCCTCCCCCACAAAAAGTCACACGCTGTAATATCTCATTGGATGGCCTTTAGCTTTGATTACGGCACACGTTCACCGTGGCATGGTTTCCATAATCTTATACAAGGTCACAACATTTGTTTCCTTCCTGAATTCCATCATTTCTCACCAAGATCTTGTAGTGATGATGGGAGAGTCGGAGCTCCGGTCTTCTCCCAAACATCATCAATGGGGTGAAGGTCTGGACTCTGTGGTGGCCAATCCATGTGTGACAATGATGTCTCATGCTCCCTGAACCGCTCTTTCACAATCTGAGCCCGATGAATCCCGGCATTGCCATCTTGGAATATTCCCAATGTGCCATCAGGGAAGAAATAATCCATTGATGGAAAAACCTGATCATTCTCTATATTCAGGTCGGCAGCTGACCTCATTTTTGGGGGACATAACGTTGCTGAACCCTAGACCTGACCAACTGAAGCACCCCCACATGATCATAGCACCTATCCAATGGCAGGCTCTGACCTATTTGCTTAGCTACATCCAGGTGGTGACTTTTTTTTGGACAGGTGATGTATATTGATATTTATTCCAGATAAACCTCAACACTATATTACATAGGAACCCCAAATTGGCTCATGAAAGCGAAAGAAATTGTATAGGTATGACACCAAAAATACTAGAAGGATGCCATGGTCATGGTAGCCACAGTGGAAAGCCAAGTTCCGAGGATCTCATTGAACATTTGTATGAAGGTAGATTTTAACACCTAGTATTTTTTGAAAGCCCCCTCCCCCTAGGGTCTTGGCATACCCCTAGGTGGACTTCTTTTATTTTCAAACAGATTTTAACACCTTGAATTAAGGCAGAGCATCCAAAAATGTGTCTATATCCGCCCCAGAACAGCAAACAATGAGCGAAATGTCCATCAGCACCTAGATGCCCAATGATTATTATTATTATTATTATTATACAGGATTTATATAGCGCCAACAGTTTGCGCAGCGCTTTACAATATAAGGAAGACATTACAATCACAATACAATTCAAGACAAGATGGTAAGGAGGGCCCTGCCCCTGAGAGCTTACAGTCTAAAGTAGATTGGCAGAGGGGTGAGGGATGGAAGCCAGTGCAGGGATTGGCAGAGGGGGGTTGCAGACACTGAGCGTTTGGTTAGGTGGATGAGTCTAGCAGCTGCATTCATGATAGACTGAAGGGGGGAGGAGCCTGTGTAGTGGAAGGCCAATGAGGAGGGAGTTGCAATAGTCATGACGAGATATAGCAAGCGAGTGGATGAGTAATGATGACTGGAAACAAGTTGCATTAAACTGGTATCACTGTAGAGGTGTGAGGACATGAAAATATTGGGATGTTACTGGGACAGAAAGAAAAGGAAAGTGTTCTGAGGACAGAATTTCCCCCAACTTGGGGTGGATTCCTCCTTGTATCCTGAGGTGTCTACAGGACAGGAAGTTCAGGAGAATCTCCTCAGTCCGCCTTGGATGGCAGCATGGATAGTTTTACCCCCACCCTACTTCACCTCAAACTAAAGCAAAGTTTTTCCTTTAAATATTTTAACAATTCTGTACAAATATTTGTCATTTTCTGTATTTAATCCTAAAAATGTACAACGATGTGACTAGTATCTGGTGTAATGGAGATCGCGATACCACGCTCAATGATCCTTCCTAAATGTGGAGATGTTTTAGCAAAACATTGTATGATTTTTTGAGTTCTCTTATACAATAGAGCAGCTTTTATCAACCAGGGCTCTGTGGAACCCTATGGTCCCTCCAGAAGCTGCAAGGGGTTCCTTGAGCAATGAGCAGAATTCAGCTTTATTCAGCTTTAAGTTGCCACACTAACGATCTTTTCTAGTTATCTGTAATGGGGGCATTTTGCTCATTCACCACCAATGTAATGAGGTCATTCACCTAATGGTAAGAGAGTCCTTCTCCCACCAATCTGAGGGAGCCCTTCTCTACTGACCACCAATGTGATGGGCCACCCTTTAATGTACATTGACATTTCTCACTGAGCACCAATGAGATGGGCCACCCTTAAACATACATGGGCAATTCTCACTGGCCTCCAATGTGATGGGCCACCCTTAAAGGAGAACTACGGGGTCAGGGCTTTTCTCCATAGTTCTCCTTAGGGTAACGGGAGGACACAAACTAGGGTCCTCCCGTCACCCTAAGCTCAGTATATTATGAGCTACAGCTCGCGGTATACTAAGACGCTGGAGCTGAAGCAGATCCCGACAATCATGTCTGGATCCGCCCAGCTGCGTGATTGACAGCTGGCTCTGCCTATCTAGAGGCAGAGCCAGCTGAACCCGCCCCCTCCCCCGTCCGTTCCGCCAGTCAGCGCTGGCGGATCGGAGCGGGGAGGGGGGAATCCAGTAGATCGGGAAGAGGGGGGATCTTCCCGATCTACTGAGCCGACCTGTGACAGTCTCATTGTCACAGGTCGGCTAGAACTATGAGGTGAGTGAAAAGCACCCCCCTCATAGTTCTCCTTTAAATGTGACCACCAACGTGATGAGGTCATTCACCTAATGGTCACCAAGGCAAAGAGATTCCTTCTCCCACCAATCTGAGGGAGCCCTTCTCTACTGACCTCCAATGTGATGGGCCACCCTTAAACATACATGGGCATTTCTTACTGGCCACCAATGTGATGGGCCACCCTTAAACATACATGGGCATTTCTTACTGGCCACCAATGTGTTGGGCCGCCCTTAAACTTACATTTCTCACTGAGAATCAATGTGATGGGCCACCCTTAAACACACATGGGCAGATTAAACTTCAGCTTTGAAATATCCTTGGACTGGAAACATTTCTTTAGTTACACAGATTGTCATGTTTGTAGTTCTCGATGCCACAATGATGAATGTACGGGGGAGGAAATAACATGCAATGGCTGTCCTCTGTGTGAATGCCTTCGGCATTGTTGTATATTGTTAGCCGTGCATTATGTGAATAGAGGAATGAGTACCGGAGGAAACTAACTGATCCAATACAACAATAAATAAAAGACTAATGGCCTTTCCAAGGTGAAGCCACAGAATGAATCCGGCCAGGCCGACCTGTGATGATAAACTCCGACAGGAAGATGTTTACAGCCATTCAAAGACATCTAATAGATCTAAATAAAAAGGATACATTGTAGTCATCAGAGTTCACTCTGGTAATCAGACGTCATCCCGTGTTCAAGGTCTCTGGGTGAAAAGGTTTTACTTCTTAGCTTTGGATAGAGTAAGGGAGAGGTACAACCCCTTTTATAGCCATCTGAGTCCCATTGGGGAGATCTCCCTTCACTTCCTGTAGGATAACCAAAACAGGAAGTTGGAGTTGGATACAATATTATTTAACGGTGGCCACATATGCATCAATGTGATCAATCAATCAATGAGACTATAATGATCGAATGGAATAAGAATGATAGTGCTGTTGCATCGTTTGATACTCTCTCTCTCCCTTTTCTCTTTCTCTCCCCCTCTTCTCTCTCTCTCTCCCCTCTTCTCTTTCTCTCCCCCTCTTCTCTCTCTCTATCTTCCCCTCTTCTCTCTCTCTCCTCTCTCTCTTTCTCTCTCACCCTCTTCTCTCTCTCTATCTCTCTCCCCCCTCTCTCTCTCTTCCCCTCTTCTCTCCGCCTCTCTCTCTCTTTTTCCCTCTCTCTCTCCACTCCCCCTCCCTC